ATGCCCTGACTGCCAAGGTAGCCACTGAAAGTAAGATTGCACTCTGAAGTGCAAGTCCCAGAGCTCAGATTCAGCTTCCCAGGTGGTTCAGTTGGACTAAAGGGCCCTAGACCTGTCTCTTCCCTCTGGCCAGACTATTATCTCTACCTGTCATCTCCACGGAGGAGCCCTGGGTAATCATAACTATAGAGGGAAAAGAAACCCACCCTATTGCAGAACATTGGCACAGGTCTCTTTGTCCTTCTCCAATCCTAATCTTCCTTCCAGTCATTGTACCTCAGTAGAAACAGACATTAGAAGATACCTTGCTTAAGCTATAACTGATAACTTTCTCTTCATTCATTCTTTTTAATTATGCCTAAAAGCCTAGTTCTTATCCTGGAGAGATTTGATCCTGTCTAAGGACTACAATATATATTCAGGGTGCTAACTAATCAAAATTATGCTGACTTGTTTTTACAAATGTAATATAGGTTGTTGTTCATGTACAAGACTTAAAAAGTATTTCACTAGTTAAAACAGGTTTCCAAGCATGGTTAGAATTGCGGTAGGCAAAATGATCTAGACACACTGGCTGTACCATGTCAAACAGTTTTGGGCCTATAGATTGAACCAGGCCAGGTCTTTAGAATATTAAATTCAGAGCCACAGTGTTAAAAGTGCCTCTTCCTTGTAGTGAGGGCCATATCTAAAACACTGAATGGGACAATGGTTTAATCAGACTAAATGCTATATATTTCATGAGAATTATATAAGTTCATCTGGTTGATTTCTGATGTAACTCAGGTATGTCATGCTGATGGTTAATACAGGTGTGGCCTCTCTTAATTAAAGCTAGAGGGATTTATAGCAAACTGTCAGACTCAATTAGTAAAGGGATCTAAAAGCCAGTGGGTTAAAATTGCTATGCCTCAAAAAGTTTATAAATTTGCCTGTTAGCTCAAATGCTCATGCTTGATTATGAATGCTCTAATTTCTCAAAAAAAATTGTTCTTTCCTAGAAGTTACCAAAACCCAGGTAATCATGCAAGTAAAATCTATAATAAATATCTTACATTAAGATTCCTTTTATTGAGATCCACCAGATCTTGTGAAAAAAATTGGTTATATGACACATTTTAAGGTCTTAACTGCACTGCTCAGTGGGCCTCAGATATCTGACACAAGCTGCAGAAGTTAGATGGTTTTAAGAAATAAATTGATCTCAGTTGATAGAAATCTCTCAGAAAGAGTTTCATAGTAGAAAGACAGATTGATAAGATCTTGAATCTTTGTTCTCTCAGTCCAAGGGAACCCATGTTAACTGTAACATAAGGAAGAAGCTTGTTAGACTTTTGATAGATGCTCAAGTGGATTTGGAAGTAGTTACCCAACGAGTGGCCTCACTTGCAAATTGGAGAGTGCTCCGTGTTCTGCTTAGGTCTGGTAATTCATGTGCCCCCAGTAATAATGAAGTTGATGAGACATAAAAGGCCAGTTTATTTGAGACAATACCCAATAGCAATGGAAGATTAAAAAAGGGATTAAACACCACATTAGAGATCTCTGCTAATCGACCTATAAAAATGTCTGACTAGTCTTTTTATAATTACAAATTTTAAATGATTATTACATTCAAGATCCTTCTGCTAATGTCCAATAGCTGTTCAAAAGATATCAAATCAATGGTCCGAGAGATGCTGAGGTCTCCTGTATCCTATCTTTTTCATCTTTATGGAAAGTCATTAATGTCTTCAGGGGAAAATCATTTTTGACTGTATTCATAATTATCCTGCTGGTGTTATTATTTGGCCTATGCATGTTTAATCATTTCTTTGGCTTTGTCTTTTCCAGATTCAAAGCTATTTTGCTTATCAAAGATAAAAATGTCTGGTGTCTATTGAGGGCCTTTAGATAGAACCTCTAGAGAATATCTCTGACTGCCGGTCAACAATTACGACCCCTTTCAGCCTGAAGAAGCCAGAGCGATCATCGCCCATGATTCCCTCATGGCCTCTCAGGTTACTTCTTTAGACAGGGAAAGTTGTAGGCAGCTAAATTAGACAGAAATATTCTAGACAGTCAGACAAAACTAGGTCTTCAAGGAGACTGCATGGAAGATAAGATACCTTGCAACCATTTGAGAGAAGGAGGCTTTTGCTGTTGGACACATCTAAAGACCAAAAATCAAACAAATGCTTAACTCCCTAAATATAAGCATCCAGGATTATCACTTTGAGGAAGCCAGGAAGAGTCACTAATCCAACTGTGACTGGCTGATTGCTATATAACTCCTGTTCTATATTTGTGCCTGCTTGCTATGTGACTCTTTTCCCCATTTGGTTCTGGATTTAATCAATTTTACCGAAGCAATGGTACTTGTGATCTCATTGGTTGGCCATAGTTTTGTCACACCTCATGCCAACCTAAGTGAGTTCCCGTTTTCCACCTTAGACCCACCTCACTGCATGGTTTTACTCTCTAAAAGTCTTTGGAGGAGACAGCTTCCTGGGGACAGCCCACTCAGGTCCCCCTTTTGTGACAGGAGCTTCCTTTCTCCCAACAAATATATTCTGCTCTTAACCTCCCTTTGTTCCTAAAATTCATTCTTCTGTTTTAGAGAACATGAACTCAGCACAGGTACCTTTCATGTTGGGATTTTCATTTCCCCTATATTCATTATGAAGTTCCAATGAGAAAGGTTTTATTTTATTTTATAGTGTTGTGGACTAAACCCAAGACCTTCACACAGCTATACATTCCTAGCATCCTTTTAGCCTCCCCTTTTTGTTATCTGACTTTTGAGATAACGTGTCCATAAGTTGCTAAATTGAGCAATCTAGAGTGGACCTTGTGGTCTTTGTGCCTCAGCTTCTCAGATTGCTCAGATTACAGGCATGTGTCATCACACACTGCTTAAAGAGAGGTTTATAAAAATCAGACATAGAAAATGTGAAGTTGCCTTTCTTTATAGTTATATTGGCTAGACTAAAATACAATACTTTCTTAATTCTGCATTAAAATGACATGTCAAGAATCACATACTGACTCAGGTCAACAATTTCTGACATTGCCACTGGAGCGGAAGACCCAATACTATTATGGACTACTGAACTCTTTTAGATTATTTTGCTGAGTTAACACACCTATAATATTCAAATAACAGAACTTAACAAAAA